CGAGGTATCATTTCCATGGAGTAGTTTTGAAGGTATCACATGCTTGCCATCGGTATTATGTTACCAAAATCGTCTTAAAACACCTGAGCTCAATTCAAATCAAACTCCTTAAATTCCTGAAATAAAATGAATCGTATCTGTGAAAGTCCCGAATCAGTGAAATGTAAAGAACTGATTGTTTACTTTATTTTTAGTCGTACGTTTACATAAAAACATATTTCGATTATTTATATCAATGACCCTCAAGATTTTTTTTTTTACTAATCCTAATTGATGTATATGGGTGATATTTTTAATGTTATTAAACATAATGTTGATAACAACTTGTTTAGTCCTAGACTTATATTTGTTAATAATCAACAATTTTACACTATACCGCAAGGATCAAATCGTAACGTTAATATGATTCGTCCTTAGAAAATTTTAGTCGTTTAGGGAAACTTTTAGAAGGAAGGAAACCCTTTAAATTATTTTGTTTTTAAATTATTAAAAACAAAATTGCACGCCATGCGTACATCTCTTTGCGTTCCTACACATAAATATTTTGTGGAGAGGCTGTAATGTAATGGAATGTTAGAATTATGTATATATATATTTTTTTTTCAGCGCTGTCAGAGGTCAAACGTCATGCCAAACCAATAAATACTAAGCACAAACTTCATAACCACATTTTTTGTTTTTAAATCTAAATTGTAAAAGATACTAGAATAGATAGTATTTTAAAATAAGCAATATCGAAATTGCTTATATTAAAATACTAACTATTCAAAGCTTAATTCAATTTTTACGTGTTAGTTACCTCAAATTGTTATATGCATATACAAGAAACAAGATTTTGAAATATGCTTTAACTTAAAATTAGCACGAGAAAATAGTTTTAACTGTTTCAAAAATGCCCCTGATAAAATGCAACTTAATGAAATCATTCCAACAAAAATTCGACAAGTTAAACTAAAAATTAAATAGTTTGTTTTTATTGGGGGTTGAAACTTTTATGGAACTTAAAAATTTCAATTTTAACAGTTTCTGTGAAACGTTTATGGGTGAAAAAAATTTTAAAATAAACGTTCTGAGATACTTTTTTGTAATAAAGTTCTAGATTTATGGCAAAAGTTTAACTTGTATTTATTCAAGTTTTTAAAAATAAGTTACGTTGGATGAATAATAAATAGTTATTCGGCTTGGATTAGAGTTATAATCTTAAATGAATTATACATGATTCTAATAAATGTCATTTTTTAGAACGGCGTTCTAACGAAATCGACAAAACTTTTAAATAAACGTTGTTGTTGTTTTTTTTAATGAAATTTCTGTAAAACCTTTACTTGAAAAGTTGCTAGGGAAAAATTTCGAGTTCCAAAATAACTGAAAACTATCGACAATAAAAATTCAAATGATACAGAAACCCTTCAAAAATTAAAGTTTTTGTTTTCAAAACCGTTTCAAGCCCTGATTTTTAATTGATTTTTATTCCAAATTTTAATCTATTGAAATAGTTGCACAACTTTAGATGGTTTAATTTACGTGAATCTTAAGAATTAGTGCAATTTCAAGGGAAGTATTATGGAAATCGGAGCCTGCGAAATATCACGAACTGATTCCGTTAAATCTGTTAGCAATTTATGGTAATGCTAGTGCAGTGAAGATGGGTTAACCCAAGGTTACTGCAGTTTAGCAAACAATCTTGGCCAGATTAGGATGTGGCGGAAAATTGGGACACAAGTTCTAGAAATATGAGCAAACAAAGGGTTGCAACCAAAGAGTACAGAGTAAAATTTTATTCAGTACTCTTTGGTTGCAACTCTTTCAAGTACTCTTTGAATAAAATTTTACTCAGTACTCTATGGGTACAACCAGTACAATACACTCGAGTACCTACTGGCTACTAAGCCATCAAGAATATATTCTACCTTCTTTTTAAAAGTGGGGCTGAGAAGGTTGCAGCAGAAAGCGACATGATTGATTTAAAGTGGGCGACAAGAAATGAGTATACGAAAACAACATTGCAGACATTTCTCTATTACATGAAATACTTGTCCAGGATACGTAAAACGAACACCCCATTTAATAAAAAGAAAAAAAGAAATTGCAGTTGGATCAGCAAGCGTCCAACCTAACAAGATCGCCATTCCCAGTTATTTTATATTTCGTGTAGAGACTGTCCTAAAATAAGAGATGTATGTTTTAGGTCTCAGAGGTCTCCACTAGCGGATCCAGGATTTCATTTTTGTGGGGAGGGGCTTTAGCCCGAAAGCTTTTATATATATATATATATATATATATATATATATATATATATATATATATATATATATATAAGACGATAAGTACTTTGGAAAAAAAAGAAAGATACTAGCTACATATATGAAATGGTGTTTAAGTGATTCTGGAAGTCCTATTAAAAGTGATCACACGAACAATAATACTTTAAGAGATAATTTTTTAATATTTTTTCCATAAAACATGGTTACATTTTATCATTTGGGGGAGTACTTCAGCCCGAAAGCCCCCTCCCCGTAGATCCGCCTGTAGGGGTCTCTAAACTACGGCCCGCATCTTCAATCTGGCCCGAGTAACTTTCTTTGATTACATAGTAAAATTTAAAAAATATAAAATTTAGTTAATTACTCACACATGAGGCTAATACGACATTTATTGCATGTTATTTTTCTCTTAGAAAGCTCATTTCACAGCTGAAGTATCATTTATAGACAAAGATTTTTTTTTCATCACAAGTTGTGGCTAGCGAGACTTGTGTTGAGTTATCAATGTGTCCCGCGGACCAAAATGTTTGTAGATCCCTGGTTAAGGTTATTGGCTGAAAACCTGAAATGATGATGATTTTTCATAATTATTTATACTTTTACTCACAAACTAATTTATTAACTCTAGATTTTATTTAGAAACTCTCAATTCGAAAATCTAACGACTTGATATGGTACGTTCTATATTTCAACTGTTTTTATCTTATTTTAAGAAAATTATAATTAAATAAATGCAGCCTCATTAAGCGGAAAGCTTGTCATGTTCATATAAAGAAAACTATAAATTACAAATTATCTTATTAAGTAATCTTTGACTCGCCCTGTCGGAAAGAGAATAAACCTGTTTTGTTTATTTAAATAATAAAATGTAAATTTTATTTGTGTAATATATTACCATTTTTTTATGTATATCAAAAAGTTGGATTTTTTTTATTTATTTATATTTGTTTCAGGTGTCTGCGGGATGGCCGCGAAATGACGGCTAGGTCTCACGCCCCCGATTCGAGCACAGCCATTGATAAGTCATCGACCAATAGGCGTGTAAGTAAATTTAAAATGGAGGCAAGTTTAAATCGACTTATTTTTTTTTTAAATAAATTATTAATGTTTCTATTTCTATGATAAAAAATAATAATGCCTTAACCATCCAATTAAACAAAAATAGTGATAATTAAAATTAATTTTGCAATCTATTTAAATAAAGGATTAGGTGCAATTAATAATAGGAGGCTCAGCCTCAAAATATATATATTCTTTCACTTTTATAAATAAACTACCGTGAGAAAATTTGAACTTATAATTCCCCATCAGGAAGGTAAAGAACACCATGTCACATTTGTTCGACCAATTTTTGTATTTGTTCAGGAAGCCATTTTTCCACAAACTTGAGCTATTAAAATTTGTTTCTTAGTACTGAAAAAATGAACATGGTGTCCTTTACCTGCGGAGTACAGGCTTAATTAGCTATTTTTTGGTGATCGATCTCCAGTATTTGATAAATATACTGCAAGAGATAAAAAAATTTATATTTCCACTTTTGGAAAAACCCTATATGCAATTAGCCATGTCAGAAACATTTTGTGTATCTGCTCCGAAGCACTTGAATGTTTGACTTTGTGCTTTGCCAATTATAACATCAGAACAAACTCTAATTTGAAATCGTTAATATTTAATATAGAATGATAGAGCAGTAGGAATAAATGAGATTTTTCTAGTAACTGATTCAGTGAGACTAATTGTTTCAATTATATTGTTACGCATAGCACTATTTTACAAGCTGGTACCATCTCAAATACTGCATGGTTGAAGATTAAGTAATTTTAATGTAAATTTTTGTAATTCAGAAGTATACAAACTATTGAGAAACTCTTAAGGACAATGAACTCTCCAACAGTGCTTAAAACTGTAATAATAAGTACAAAAACTCGGCTTATGTTATTTGTTTCCTCTACTGTTATATTTGTATGGCTCTATCACACAAAGAAAGTTGCAATTCAACAAATCTGGAATATTGGGATACCTTTCAAAAATCAAATCACTAACTCTTGTCTCTACCCTTAACATAACAAAGCTTCCCACGGCAAATACTGGAGACTACGGGAGGCCTATTGGACCTGTACCACCGAAGAACTTCTGGTCATGATCAGTTGCGAACCCCAGATTTAATTTTGACGGCATTCAGCTCGTAGGTTTATTTATATATATAAAACGATTATTACATTGGAAGATAAAGAAAGAAACCAGCTACCTAGAAAAAATGATGTATAAGTGATTCTTGAAGTCCTGTTAAGTGTAATTACACGAACAATAATACTTACAGAAATAATGTTTTAACATTTGTTCATAAGAAATAGTTATATTTTATCACTTTTGGGAGGAAGAATGGGGACTTCAGCAGATCCCCCTTTCCTACGTAGATCTATCTGCCTGTGGTCATGATATGTATGAACCATGGGTTGAAACATTTATGAAGCTTTTTAAAAGTTTCATTTTAAGTTTCTGTGAATATTTTTAGGAAAAAAAATGTATTTTAACATTTTCCGTGAAACCTTTTTAGGAAAAAAGTTCTTAAAATAAAAGTTCTTATTTATTAATAAATATAAAATTGGACATAAGATTAAATTTGCGATCTGCAAATTTCTTTGTAATGAGCAAATTTGTTGGCAGCTTCACAGCGTCCCATCACAAATCCAGGAAATAGATCAGTTCAGCAGGTCTCTTGGCCACCGTCTACGTAATCGTTTAGGTGGGCTGTACGGGTTTCTAGCGCATTTAAGGTTTTCTGTCGGAGGATTTCTGTTGTAAGTTATTGTAGTTTTCTTTTGCAGTTTCTAAAATTTTTGAGATGTTCAAGTCTTTATGTAAACTATCGTTTGCGACTTAAAATAGTGTGTCAACTACCAAAAGTTCTAAGAAACATTTTTGTGATAATGTTTCAGATTTATGGTAAAAGTTCAACTTCTTAAAAAAAGTTTCGTAAAATGATAAATAAACAGTCATAGGATTATATTATAGTTATAATTTGTCTTAAATGAACTACACACGATTCTAATGTGTCGTTTGTTTGAGTAGATATGGATAAAAGCCTTTTTTTTAGATAGAAATTTTAGCGAAATTGACAGAAATTTTATATAACATTTTAATAAAAATAAAAGTTCTGTAAAACCCTTGCTTGAAAAGTTGTAAGGGTTTTTTTTTTGTTCTCCCCTACCTCGCCTTATAGGGCTATACGTGGTTTTTCTCGGGCCAGAGGGCGAGTGAAGCGGATTTATGCCAGAATTAAGCGGATTAAGACCCCCTGGCACCCGAACACGAACTCGTAATTATTTTTCGTCTCTAACTTCGGCTATCAGGTAGACGGGCAACGCGCGGTGGTGTGCACACACGTTAGCCCGTTCGGCCAACCAAACATTAAAAAAAAGTTCTAGTTCTAAAAGAATTGAAAATCTATTGACAATAAAAATTCCGATGTTACTGAATTTTTTTTTAAAAATAATTTGTTTTCTGTTTCAAGACCTGGTAGAAACGAAATATCTAAAATCTACAACTCAATGCAAACTGTAGTTATACTCATTAAAAAAAAAAAAATGGCAGAAAGTGTGTCGGTAAAAATCTAGTCCTAAGAATATTCGAAATAATATTTCGTTAATTTTCCTAAATTATTCACATTTTAAGTCAACCAACAGCGAAAACTATCCAACAATTTATCGAATGGAAAAGGAAATAGATAGGAAAAATGTAAACCTATTTTAAATAATAATTATAATAAAAGGAAACTGATGTATTGATAAAATAATTGCGGCTGTGGCGAATCCATTCCACATTTCCCTTTGGATGGACTTAACCTGGCACCATCAACACACGCTACATGACATGCGTTATTAGTTGACCGTATCTCTCGTTAGGTTTCCTACAAAATCATAACCATGACCTACAATATTGAGGCCGAATCATTGGATGAGCGTGACGGAATAACATAAAGTCAAAATGCAGAAGCATGTTGGATATCGGCCATTGAAGGTATGCTTTTATTTTGTGGCGGAGAGTAAGGAATAAATCGTAAAACGTTAAAAATCTAGGAAAGTTAAATTAAAAAAAATAAAATAAATAAATTGATACATGCATGAATATTAGAATCAAATAAATCTAAGTTTATCCGACGGATGAAAAAACATTGTATTAAAATAAATCTTATAGCGTATCTTTGTAATTCCTCAAATAGTTATTAATTCAAATATGTGCTATAACACGATTTTCGTTTATCTATTATATTTTTTAATCGTATGTATTTAAATTATTAAAAATATCAATAAATTTAAATGAAAAAAAGTCTTCAAAATTAGTAATGTATCATTTTGGTAAATTAAATTATTATAAAATTTAAAATATTTTTGCATTTCTTTTTCTTAAACACTTTTTTATCCTACTATAATATTATAAAATGTGTACGATTTTTTTTTTTTTTTTTTTACAACTACTATAGATTAGTCGATGAACTGAAAAAATGAAATTAAAATTATTTTTGAACCCATTGCAAATATTTCTCTGACGCAAAAAAAAAAAATTACATTAAGAACTTTCGCAAAAAATATTAGAAAACAAGATTTTTCGATATTTTAGCAAAGAGTGGACATAAAAATATCCAACAACTATCATTTCTATACAACTCTTGATTTCTTTATTGAATGATTTATCAATTAAGAAAAATAGGATCGCCTAAAATATGCAGCGAAGAAGACTGAATATTTTCATGAAGTTAGTTATTCATGAATATTATTTAAATGAAATTAAATAGATTCAGAAACTTAAAATAAGAGAATATCTAAAAATAATTGGTACCGTTATTAAGCAGTCTCTTTAACTATTCAATTTCTTAAATTGAGTAATTGAAGGAACTGGCGTTTCAAGTATTCTATTTCGGAATAGCACTAATTAGTTCGGACAATACAACTACTCAGTTAGGTTTCAGCTGGTCGAACTTAGTACTTGAGTCCCAGAAAATTGCCTACATTCTCAAAAGCAAGGTCCGGATTTTTATACAATTGCATATTTTGTTTGCAGGTAGTTTTTAAACTGCTTATCAAATATCTATCCGGGTGCGATTTATAAAATTTTATATTGCATATTTCTTGTATATCCGATGGTCAATGCATATAATTGCATATTTCGATTATTTCAAATATAAAATAATAATAACTATAAATAATGAATTAAAATGGAGCATTAATGATAGAATTAAATAGTACAATCACAATTGATTTTCAATTAATAAATAGCAACAAAATAAGCCTAACCTATAGTTATTGACTTCTTAGATTATGGATTTTTTTCATTTCCTGATTTTTTATATTATCCCTCCTCATTCCTTTTAATTTCTCATCACCAAACTCAGTTTCAATATCTTACTTTTTTAAAAGCGGTTATATTTTTTTGTCAATTTTAAGTGTATCATCTTCAAAATTAGAATATGAGACCGATCCTTTCCCCTTACGATCACAAACATGAAAACATTTTTAAAACTTATAGCAAGGTTTGTTTTTTCATCTATTGTTCAAAACAGGTTTCTTTTGCAAAAAATATAATAATTTTCAATGGACACAAACTTGTTTGTTGCAGAATTATCTTTTTTTTTAGTTCAAAACGTGTTTTGTGTGCTTGTTAGTCTAATTGAATATTTTAGACGATTTATTGCATATTTCAATTTTTTTTCATTGCACATTATATATTTTATTACTAAATGTTTTGTTGAATAGTTGACGGGTTTTGATTACAATATTATATGGTATATTTTGCAAGCATATTTTTACTATTACTACAAGCGGATTTTAAAATCATAAAAATCCGAGCCCTGCTCATTTTTTTTTAAATAAATATATTATATGCTAAACAAATATTTTACTTTGATTCCCTAAATCTATATAACTCCATGTAAAGAATGTTATAAATATACAAAACCATTGCATATTTTTTTTAAACACAGTATTACGTACCTCCAACTGAATTTTTAGGAAAGAAAAAACATTTTTACATTTTTTTTTACTTTTTAATCGCTCATAGCTAAGCTTCTATAAATGGCAGATAGCTAGAATTGGTATCGTTTGACAGAGATAATTTCCTATTAATTTTCTATTTGAACTTAAGTGAGATGACGTAGTCGTTCTCAGCGGCTAAAATAATTGTATGCAAGGTTAGCACTTTCAATAAGTCCGTGCTTTCAAAGCCACTACTTTTACAAAAGTATAAGTATTGGCTTGATTCATTTCTCACAAAATCGATTCATTAATTTCACTAATTTTCATTGAATTTTCTAAAAATTATTGAAGGCATGTGTCTATTTCTAATCATTTTCTAATAAGTTTTTGTCCTATCGTCTTGAACTCACTCATTTTTCAAACAATTTTTTTACTGAAAATTTTGGAGTGATTTATATTCAAGATTTGTAGCTCTTTTTGGTTATGAAAATTTCAATGAGTTAATAAACAAAAAAAAAAAACGCCAAATTAAATTAAATTAAATTAAAATTTTCAAACGCCAAATTAAAATGGTTCATCATAGGTTGTAACAATTAATTGATAAGGCACGTCAATATTTTTTTTTTTTTTTTAAACGATCCCATATTTTTCAATTTTTATTAATATTTAACGAAATTTTGAATTTATATTAATTACTTCCCTTAAATTTATATTATTAAATCATTTGAAATTTTACATAGAACTAATATTCCTTCTGAATTACGAATTCATCATTAAAATATGAAATTAGAATAAGAATCAAGCAGCCTTATAGTATAAATATGCTTTTTTTTTATATTAAAAAAAGCGAAAAACTTGTTGAAAACTGACTCAAATTAATTTGTATTTCTGAATAATACTTTCTAGCCTATTTAATTCAATCTGCAATTCTTCAAAAGTGTTTTTATTTGAAATATAAATAACAATTAATACATTAAATATTTTCTCTGAAACTATTTAAACAATAGCTTTTTTGAAGTTCTAAACTCAAATTTAAAATGAATATTTTTCTTTTCTAAATTAATTTTTATTAAATTATAAATACCTGATGAGTTAAAAATATTATCAGATTATTTATTGTTCATACAATAAAAAAAAATGTCTGCTTGCCCATAGGCGAACAAGCCGCTCATGGAAAAGAGGAGAAGAGCTAGAATTAATCAATCGTTGGCTGTACTTAAGGCCCTCATACTTGACTCAGCTAAAATGGAAGTAAGTATAACTTATATATTTATGTATTATACAATAATTTTCATTCAATTTACAAAACATTGGAATCACAAAATTAAAAATATTAACAGGGTGTATAAAAAAAAAAAAAAAACCGTTTATCAACCAAATATTTGTGTTATTATTTCTTTGATATAAAATACAATTAATATTCAAAGTATAGTCAGTCCATTGTTATCTACCGTCATTAGCCATATGCTAAGCAATCGCTCTATACCACGCTGATACCATTCTTTGGGATGGCTCTCAAAGAACTCTTGGACCGCAATTTCAACTTCCACAAAATTGTCAATTTTTTCTCTTGAAGAATATGGGCTATGGATCTAAATAAGTAGTAATCTGATGGTACGAGGTCTGGATGAGGCAGGAATCTCATATCAGAAGGGGTTTTCAATAAATTTTCACAAATTTCTAACCTCTTAACTAATTGCTAAGGAGTAAGTTCGTCAGAGAACAGGAGAGTAGATTGCTACTAACAGAATTCGACACAAGATACTCCTTGGCAAGTTCACGAGTACTCGTGGACGGCTCTGATTCATAAGCTTCTTGCAGAACCTCATCAATATCCATTAATGGTCGACCGGAACCCTTCTTCTTTTGCAATGTATATCCACGACTATTTTTTTCAAACCAACGCCGCGCAGTGCGCTGGTCAAGGACACCTTCCCCTTCATATTTAATAATTTCACGAGTTGCTTCAGCGGCAGTGGTTTTTTTTTTTTCCAGTAACGCCTTATAATTACAAGAATTTCGTGGTACACTGTCATGTTTCTTCTTGGAAACAAATAACTAAACTGAAGCTTTTTTTGAAGAATTCGAGTGGGATTAAGCAAGCTTAGAGAATGCTCTAAAGGGATTATTAAGTATTTGTAAGTATTAAATAGGATTAAAATATTTACAGTCCTTTGAAATCTTGAATTTGATAAAACGGTCATTTTTTTTTATACACCCTAGTAATAACTGACAATTAGGTATTAGTGAAATTATCAAACATATATTTTTCATAAAATTATTTCAATCATTTTAGTTTTATTACTAAAAGTAATCCCCTTTTTAAATTTAATAATAACAAATAGCAATGGCTTTATTTCCGTTTAAATTAAAAATATTAAATGGGATGTAAGTTTTATAATACAATGTACAGCATTTTTATTTTAGCTACAGTTGCATAAAGAAAAATTCTCTGGAAATATTTAGTTCACGCACAATAATTCCACTCAGAGTAACGTTTATGACCGTAATGTTCCCTGCATTCGTTGCAGAAAAGGACACAGGGGTCTACAGAAGAAGGTTCCATGGCGCAAGTTTTTGATGGTGGCATATTTTGACGAGTTTTTGAATTTTTAAAGGGGACCCATTTAGACAGGATTATTAATGGGTTATGAACCGGACTTAGGGTCAAACGGAAAACATGGAACTGAACAGAGCAAGTGTTATTGTAAACGACCTGCGATTTTTCTAATTCTAGCTTAGCTTACTTGCTCTGATTTTAAGAAAAGGTGAGCAATAAAATATCTTGCAAGGAAGAGGGAGCGAGGTTCTTGCGCCATGGACATTGGGAGGGATGGCTCCCCCTGAACAGACAACGCTTTAAGTCAGTTTTATCCAAACCACTTGAGTATCAAGGCAAAGTTGGTAAGCATTGTCATGTTTCCACGGTCAATTTCGAATAAATTCCTGAACAAAATTTATAATGTTAGCTACTCATTCAACGCATAATTAAATTTTCTTTAATTCTTGAAATAGAAAAATTTTAGCTGTAAAGTACTGTAAGTTTTTACTGGCCGACATTTTGTATTCCGACAGGTTCGTACTGGCAATTTACATTAATGTGTCAAACTACCTGAAAATATTATGACCTTGTCAGTTAGATATAAGTCAGAAACTTACATTTTAAGATCAGGTAATGTAACGTATGAAAAATTTTTTGGGGGGCTTCAGTCCAATAGTTTTTTTTTTCATATATATAACAATAATTGAAACTTAGGAAAAAAGAACTAAGTACCTGTATGAAATGGTGTTTAAGTGATACTTGAAGTCCTATTAAATGTAATTACACTAACAATAATACTTTAAGAGACAAATTCTTTTCAATAAAACAGGATTACATTTTACCGTTTGGAGAGGGGGACTTCTTCTTGCTTCAGCACGAAAACCCTCTCCCCTCCTCCCATCTATAGATCCGCCTTTACAAAAGGGTTCCTTAGTAGCCATAAAATAATCGACTAATTAATTATTATAATTTATTTTTAAAGACATTACATATATATATATATAATGGTTAGTGAAATTAATTTTTCAATATTTATTTCTTTATAATGATGTAGAGATGGTTGACCGTGATATAATATAAGAAGGAGTTGATCGGGGGTGCGGTTAAATAAATACTAAATTATAGAAATAGTATTATTTAAACCAGTTGGTTTTTCAACTGCCTCCCGCAGTGCTACATCCTACGCCCTGAAGAAGGCCTGCAAAGTGGGTCGAAACGTCGGCATAAAATTAAATAATACTATTTCTATAATTTAGTATTTATTTGACCGCACCCCCCGATCAACTTCTTCTCATTTATTTCTTTACTTTCCTCTTCATTCTCATTAATTATCACAAAATCCTATATTTCCAAGTTCCTTAATAAATCTAATAGTGTCTATTTCGTCTATCATACTTATGCAAATGACATATCTATTTAGGTTATCATCCCGTGGACACCTTGTCTTGTCAAGACCTATTTGGTCACAAGTCCGTCCTCGACACTACCCACTCCATCTTCCGCTCCGTTAGTTTTTTGACGCCCGCACAAGGGGAAATCCACTTTTCTTATACAAAATTCCTTCAAAGGTATTAAAGATATAAATAATATATAATGATGATTAAAAGGTTGGATGACAATACCACAAATTGTCCCTGTCAACATAACTTGTCCAACGTCAAAGCCCAAAACCACGTGATCAGCCTCATAGCCTCACGTGATCCAATTGTAATTTTAATTGAATACAAGGTGTAAGCTGATACTTAACATGTCAAGCAAGGCTGTTTTTTAGAAGTTGTAAGTAGCTGGGAGGATCAAAACTACCAGATCTTTTTAAATGTAATTGTCGGGTTCAACAGGTGTGGCTTTCAACTAACTTCAAGCAATCCCAACAGTGGCAATTCAACTGAAAATGGATTTGTTTTTCTTCTTATCCTTAACATATTGAAACCTGATAGATTTTCTACTTTATTTTTATTAATTATTATTATATTCCAGCTATCAACGGACGATTACAGATATACTGTAACATAAAATAAAAAGTTAGTCAGGAAAAATTTGGTTTGACAAAAACAATATTGTAAAAGTTATAAGTTATTCAATCTTCTATTAGGCGTGTATTTTCTATTCGACTTTAACGCGAACAGCTTCAGGAAATTCATAATTATCTAGGTTTTTCACAATATTACTAAAATTTTTAAATCAACAAAAATATTGTCTATCTTTTTGTTTTATTTTTATAATTTAGATCGTGAGAGAAAATCGTGTTTCAAAGAAGTTGACTTGCGATAAAATTGGTATTGTGGTTTTATAGTAATGTTGTGGTTTTATTTAAATGATGAATAATGTCACAAATTACCAGTCTACTCAAAGCCAGAGTCTAGATATCTATAAGATCAACAATTATCACGCGGTTGACCCCGGAAATATACATCTATCTCAATTATGTATGGAAACGCAGCTCTGACGAAACAGGGGGGGGGAATTGGGGTCTTGGCCAACAAGTTAATTTTTTAAACTCCTAAATTTACCTTAAAATGAGGTATTGATAACATTACATATATTATATAATAATTATTTAATATCTTTACATAATATTTTAGTTAAGTAATATTCATTTATTTGAATTGCAAGAGGTGTAAATTTTGGTGGAGGGTTGAGCGAGCGGGCTGACGCGTTTAAAAAACACGTTGCCTGGCAACCAGAAAACCTGAAAATTACTAATTAAAGGGCAGATGCGGCGGGTTGTAACACTGAAATTAATTCTCCGCCATCTCTCCTGGCCTGGGAAAAAAACGTATGGCCGAAAAGGCGATTTTTTATGGCCTACTCCAACCTGATTTTTTTTTTAAATTAATATTTATTAAATTATAATTTAAAATGGAGTCAATATTGAAAGTTTTTGTACAACCAGATACTTGAAATCGACATATTTTCAAATCATTAAAATCGAAAAGATTGACGTTACTACCAACACCATTATTATTCATGAGGCACTACCTAACGGATGTGATCAGTCCTGTGCAAGGTTGGTGACGTCATAAGCACTTTCTTAACACATTTCCTGAACAAATCATCTGTAGGTGGTTTTATTCACGCAACATTAGATTTTGAAAAATCTTTAAACATTTTAGAATCTAAGTTCAATTTTTGTAGGTAAGATGAGTTACATAGTTAATTTGTTTCTAATTAATTTATACTGTTTTATGCTTCTCTATTATTCATTTAATTTTGGAAAGTATCTTTTATAAAACATATTTATCAAAGACAATCTGTGGTTAAGGATGGAATCAGAATGGATTTAAAAAAATAAGTTTAAAATGTATTATCATATATTAAAATTCATAACTGTATAATATTTTTTTTTTATTTCTTTATGACATTTACAACTGTATTACATAAATACATCAAGTAAATTTGGACATAATTGATATAATGACATGAATACACTTGCTGAGTAACTACCCAATGGTAGCGCTCTAATGATATGACTACAGTAGGAGATCACGGGGTCATCTTCTTTTCAGACGCCTCGGAGGGTTATCAGGAATTGAAGAGGAAGCAAGGTTAGAAACGAGAGGGTTGGGATGATTCTGAAGTTTATTATGGAAGGATAGGTATCTGGATTGGGCCAGATCTGAAACATAAGGAACATTAAGATCTTTATGGATAATTTTATTAGTGACAAAGTAAGGAGCATTGAGGATTTTACGAAGGATTTTGGATTGTAAGGATTGGATGCGAGAGGAATTCGATGGTTTAGTAGAGCCCCATAGCTCAACTCCGTAAGTCCAAATAGGTCTTATTATAACTGTATAATATAAAATAGCTCTATAGGTCAGTAGCTAAGGTACAGAAATCCAAAACCCTGGGCAGATTGTTACATCAACCATGCATCAATTCTGGGATTGCAAATGTAAAATTGTATTTAATAAAATTACAGTTAAAATGCAGAGAATAACTATGAAAGACCTCTTGATTGTTTACACATACTAATTGTTATTTTAAAAAATAAATATATACACAATTACAATTTCTTTTTATTGATTATATCAGTATTAGTAATAAATTAGACAAAATTTGATTGTATAAATATGACATAACACAATAATATTGACCAAAAAATAGCTTTAAAAAAATCAAAAACAAATCAATTTAAGAACAGGAGTAGTTGAGACTTTATACAAGTTCACAAAAAAAAAAAAGTAATATCGGAAATATTGCAATGGAATCACTAATTTTATCTAATGCACATCTTTTTTTAGTTTATCATATTTCATTCTCTTAATTTGTCAAGATTACTATACTATTTTTAAACCATATTCATAAAATTAAAGAATCTCCCTTACTTTCCATAATTGGCTCACAAATATTAATCATAAAAATAAATTTAATTTTCAATTATTTGAATAAATGATTTCAAATCTTATATATTTTTTTTCTAGAACACAAAGCATTCAAAATTGGAAAAGGCAGATATACTGGAGCTAACAGTAAGGCACCTTCAAAGACAAAAAACTCTCAATTCGAGTTCAGTGGACAAATATAGAGCAGGCTTCATTGAATGTGCAAGAGAGGTAAGATATGTTAAACACGCATTATATTTTATTTATAATGTTGAGGGATTTTGAATTATGTCTTTGTATTTCTTCAAGTTTGTAACTAGTTTGCTTTATGAAAATAAAACTATTTTACTGTCATTAAAATTTAATATTTTTCAAAGAAATAGTATCATGATCAATAAAAAGCATTCCATTTAGTTTTCTTTTAAAATCTCAAAGAATAGCAGTCAATAATCAGTAAAGAATAAGAAATACAAAATAATCAGTAGGAATCATGTTATGAAATAAACAGTGTTACTCAAAATTTACTTTTTCAATACCATAGATTGTTCTATGTATTTATAAACAAAATGTATAAAGAATACTCATATTGCTGCCTTGGTTTGACATGGATGTAACAAACGCTTTATGTGATTCTGACTCTCCTTCAAGATTATCAGAGCCGGCCTTAGACATTCGGCAACATCTACCCTCCCTCCCAAAAAATATTAAATTTATTACTTAAGCTATTTTAAAGTATGCAATATTTGAATTTTATTTCAGTCAATATTTCTCAAATACAGCTGCTTTATTGATAGGCTACAATTAATTATTTTAATACATTTTTTATTAATTTGTAAAAATTAGCAAGCGCCCCTGAGGAACAGCCAGTCCTCCCAACGGATGCCCCTCTAGGTTGGCGCCCCGGGGTGATTGTCACCCTAAGGCCAGCACTAAAGATTACAATGTATTTTTTCATTTTATAAAAGTTATAACATGGATCTTTGTTAATTTAATTTCACTAATTTTGTCTGTGAAGATGTATTAACTGCATTTTGACATATTTAAAATCTTCTTTAATTAATTTTTTTAAATAAACCATCTACAAAAGTTAAATCACTATTATGTGAAGAAATGAGAATAAATTGACAAATGGTACTGATAACGAACAAAGTGTTAACATGTCAAATTTTTAATAATTACAAGTTTAGAACAATTAGAATCTTACTATATCAAAACTAGTAATATTAAGCAAAGTATAACTAAGGAAATTTTAATTTTTTTTTTCTAGGTTACAAGATTCTTAGATAGCCCAGAACTTCAGGGGCCAAAACCAGGTTTGGATCCATCAGTTCGCCAGCGTCTTTTGAGACATCTTGAAACTACAGCTGCTGAAATATCATTAGATTTTGCAGATTCCCATGTCGAGCCTCTTAAACCTATAGACCCAGAAACTGAGAGGCGGTTAGAGCAACTGGAAGAGTTTCTGATCGACGATGAAGCCCGTCCAGATAGTTCTACAGCACCAGGGGATGAGAACAACAACTCAAGGAAAAGAAAGAAAAAGGGAAGAGCAGCTGATTCATCCACTATCACCACAACCTCACCTGGAACCAGCAATCCAGTCTCCCTGGTACAGGTTAGAGTCTATTTGACAATGCTTTAGTGCAGGGGTTCCCAAGGTCATAGGAGCCAAGTCAAGACCTACCAATAAAGTTGTTTTCTTAGCACATGATAATAGAAGACAAAAGACCTATGTATAAACTTTTTTTTTTCATTTTACTGTCTAAATCAAACATTCAAGATTTTTATATATACATATTCAATCAAATATTTAGAGAATAAGTCATATATTTGTGCGTATAAAACAGATATAAATTGTTCTTGTGATTTTTTTTATAAATTTTATTAAACATTCTTAAAGTATTTCTCTATTTAAAATTTATTATTCCAAAAAAAATTATGCATTATTATTTTCAAACTTTGAATTGGTTAGACACAGATATGCTTCATTTTCTTAATTTATTTTTATTTTATTGCGTACGATTTATTTGCAATATATATTGCATACATCAATTTCGATCTTAGATTTAAAATAATACTCCTCAATATTAAAGAGTTTCATTTTTTTTTTTCTTTTTAAACAGAACATTTTTTGTTATTGGACAGATCATTTTTTCTTATTGGACTGAACAATTTAGCAGGAAAAAATTAATTTTCAAATTCTCACACATATTACAGAAATTATAGTGTTTTGAAATCACTTCCTAAAAACCTAGAATTTTAAAAATAATTTATTGTTATACTTTTTGTTTGTTCTAGAGATGTTTACAGAATGGTTACTATGATAAGATTTTAAGAAAAATTAATTTTTAGTTTCACAGATTTCTTACAACCAACAAATCTTATGGTCATTTTGGGAACCTCTGTACTAGCATTTATGTATTAAAAATAAATTAAAATATAAAATCCATTGCTTCACTAATCTAGAATCATTTTTTGAAATATCGATAGGATTCATATTAAAAAAAAAAAACTGTACCACAACTCAGAAGTTGGGGATGCCCCGGAGAGTCTTCTGATCCAAGGATCGATCCACAGTAACAGAATAAATGATTGCCTGCCATTGCCGAACTCGAACCTTGGAAGTCATTGCCTTACCCATTAAGCTACCATGTCCCTCCCCCATATAATTCACATACAATTAAATTAAAATAATTTTTGCTAAATACTAAAATCAATGAATGTGTTAAACAATCCATCTAAAAAGTAGATAAAAAAAATAATTGATCACGGAAATATCCCTTGGTCCGGAACTTTGAAATTTGAATCAAATGCACAAAATAAATCAGGGTAGGATAGTTCAAATGGCTGATGTCTTCCTATTATTAGCTAGTTTCAGTATCTATTAGAAAACAAGTAATCCATTTGGTTTTAATCCTTAATTTATTTACTAAATAATGACAGAAAATTTTTTGATATTAACAGACATTTCCTCGGTCTACTGAATCCTTAAAAAAATATATTTTAAAATAAATTTTAACATAAATCAGAGGTAATTTAGGTATATGGAAACACTGATAACGTTCCCATTATACCGTTAGGCTGAAAAAATAGCAAATTTATTGTAGTGCCTTTTCCCTACATCTAAGCATTTCATGGCCTGTTCTGGGACTGATTAATTCATTTTGATTAAGAAGCCCGAAAGACTTAATTTTATTAAAATTTAACTATTCATATTTTTTTTAGAATTATTTACAAATTGGAGTACTCATTCAGAAAGATAGTTGATTTTTTAGAAAATTATTTATTGGCAATACAATTCGTGAGAAGATGAGATTCCTTCAGTAGCTTGTTTCATTGGGTTCTATGATCTGTAAACATATTCAGTATTTATGCCTTAAAGAAAGCATCAGCATCATTTATCTCTCTTTCGTTTTTGATCTTGGTTTCAAACTCTTACTGTGCAGTTTTTGGCATCTTCTGAAGTCTGAATATGAATAAATACTATTCCTTGTATTTTTCATATGAGAGTTCCCCATCTGGGCACCTAAAAACTTTTTTGTGGCATAAATTCCCTTCCGTTCCTTTGAATTAGTTTGTAATTTTCTGTATATTTTTTTCCTAAAACATGAAATGTCAGCAAACATCATGTTTATATATACTTCCACAACATGGATCCCATTTCTCATAAAAATCATCTATGAACACTTTGATTTATGCTAACTCGGTCTCACGATATCCAAGTTTCATATATATATATATATATATATATATATATATATATGAATATATATGATATATATATCATATATATTCATATATATATATGAAACCTGGATATCGTGAGACCGAGTTAGCATAAATCAAAGTGATCATAGATGATTTTTATGAGAAATGGGATCCATGTTGTGGAAGTATATATAAACATGGTGTTTGCTGACATTTCATGTTTTAGGAAAAAAATATACAGAAAATTTTCTCTTCTTATGTATTACGGAAGTGTTTATATATATTAATAATAATTTATATATATATAAATAATAATTTATATATATATATATATATATATATATATATATAAATTATTATTTATATATATAAATTATTATTAATATATATAAACACTTCCCTAATACATAAGAAGAAAAAATAAAAATAATATAAATAGGAATAAAATTGGAGATAGGAACATTTGAAATTGAACAAATAATATTTGAAGATAGTAATTATTTTGTTTCTCAATTTTGATTAACTATGTACAGCTTTCTTTTTAAATAAACAATATAACCTGACTTTTTTAGGTGATACCTTCAAGACTACCAGATGGGCAAGTTGTTTTTCTCCTACCTAGTCATTATGTTCAACTATCGAAAGAAGAAGAAAAAGAGAAAGCACAAGAAATGCCCATAGATTTCAGTGTTAAAAAAATGGATGATGATAAAGAAGAAGAAGAAGTTTGGCGTCCATGGTGAACATTTAATACTTAAATTTATCTCATCTGAACTGACAGATCCAATGACTTTAAAATTAGCCTATTTCTCTTAATAGGTTTATTTCACTTATTGTGTGAACTATTAAAACACACTGAACTTGTTACCAAATGGATCTAAGTGTTTTTGTCTTTCCTTAGTAGATCTTTTTATAATTAGAGAATAGTTTTAAGAATATATTAAAAACAAAACTTTTATTCATAAACTATGACTTAAATAGAATTATATGTTACATTGAAAATCATTTTTTTATTTTATTTATTAATTTTTGTTTTTAACTTATGTTACGTGTAATTTGACTAGTTATAAATTTTTTTTCTCCAAAAAAATTAGATAAGAAAAACGAAATAAATTTGAAATTATAAATGAATAGGTCAGATCTACAAAAATCAAATTCAGGTTAAATTTTTAAATATGTAAATATTTTATAAACTTAATGTATGGTATACATTAAATTTAAATTTTTTTCTTTAATTTGGATTCTTAAGATAAGAATAAACATACTTATAATGTGATTTTCTTCATTCATTGTCGAGATGTTAGTCGGTACATGTGTAAATTACTTTTTTCATTGAAAATAAAATTTGAGAAAGTGTCCAATTAAAGGTTAATATAAATATGGAATGCTATTTAATATAAATTACTGAAAGTAGACTCTTTCAGAGAATAAGTGTTTACTTGTTTCAATATTAAGATTATAAACCATATTGCCCAAACTTAAACACACTTCTTATGGAATGATGTTCGTATTTTGGCAATTTTCTTGCTGAATTCCAATTTATAAATTTCGGGATAAAGAATTTTGTATTAATATTTTTTTATTTTGTTTTTTCAAGATAAACAGTATAATATTAAAATACATTCATCTTTTTTTTTGTCATAATACTTTTCAGACAATTCTTTTATTTGTTTCATAATCCATTTATTCTTTAAGTAATCACATGAGTTTCCCATGTAATTAATGAAATTTAAAATCATGATAATATTACTAAATGGTCATAATAGTTTTTTAATTATCCTCTGTCATTCATTTTAGTCCCATCTTATTGAGACCTAATTTCTTAATTTTTTGTAATTACGATATTAAATTCAAATTACAATTGTATAAAACTGCATTGGGTCTCTTCCCTTAAGGCATACTTAAAGAATATGGTATGAATGAAATTAATGAGATGTTATTTGGAACAATTGTAGTGATTAAATTTTCAGAGTTCAAGATTGTACATGAATTAACTTTTTAAATTTCTAAATAAAATTAATAATTGGAAAATTATGCCATTAAAATAATTATCGCAAGAATAAAAGTGTGGTGGTTACTACATTCCTTAAAAGATGTTAAATTTAGTACAAGAAGAAAGCATATACTAAAGACCTTACCTTATAAGACTCCCAATATTTCTTTCAATTTCCAATTGATTCAATATTTAAAAATTATAGAAATTTAATGTTAGCTCAAAGAAAAAAAGTAATTATTTCCAAGGTAACTATTGAAAGAATACTACTTCATTCATTCCAACAATCTTGATATGAGAAGTTCATATCTAAGAAAATTATCCATACTAGTCATAATTTAGCTTTAATTATTTAAAATTCCCCCTCTCAAAAAAAAAAAAATATATATATGAAATTAATAACACAATGAAAATTTGTTGCTCTTTATAAGTGAATAGAAAAAGTACTTGTTTTTTTTACTCTTTATTACAGCTAGATAATGTAATAATATAAAAAAATATCTTTGTATTATTTGTTTAACTTATTTATTCTCAGTTTATTACAAAAATTCACTAAGTACAGTTTTAATAAAACTTAACTTTCCAAAACTTTAAGTAAATTTTGACTTTAATTATCATTACAAAAGCATAGTAAGTGCACCAAAATGTCACAAATCCTTGTGAATATCAAATATAGCTACACAAAGTGGACAATCGACTAATTTCACAGAGAGAACATTTATCAAAGTACTTATTATAAGTGATATAAATTTCTAAATAACTAATTACCTAATGATTTTTTTTGTAATAAACTGACAATACATAGTTTTCTATTTTAAATAACTGCTTTATTATATGATTTTGATTTTTGCAATTAAAATAAAAGATGCATCTAAACTTTTAAATAGTGCAATAAACTTAAATTCGAAAGTATTTATATTTATAAATTGCAGCCTAACTTTCCTTGGCCTATACTTTTATGTGAATAATCAGGGAAATGTGTTTTTACTAATAAGAATAATTTTAAAGAGCCTAATTTTAAATTAACCAATTACTATTATTGATATTTATTACTTTATACTTTAATAATTATTCATTGATATTGTTGGTCGGTTCATTTCTTTTTTGTATCTAATGTTCAGTTTATATTCATTTTAATATAGACCTTTACTTAGTTTGGTTGGGATGAGTATAAAAAAGACGTATTGAAATATTATGAAAGACAATTGTTTACTAAAGTAATGAAATGGCAACATAAATTTATATCTTTCTTTTTTCATTTCTTAGTCCAAGTCAAAAATAATATTTTGAAACCCGTTTGAACTACAACAAAATCTTTCTTTCAAACTTATTTACTATTCCATACTATATTTTAGTTTATGTAATGTAAGCTGTATTATGTTGTATAAAATGCACATTTACAGGTAGTATAAAAAAGCATAGCATATATATCTGTGTGTGTATAGTGGAATTCAATCAACTTTACAAATTATGGAATGTTCTATACCATGTATGTTAAAGGAATTGATTTATTATATTCACATCAAAACTGAATTATTTTTAAATGTTTCCAAAACCAAACTAATTATGTGAATATATAAACTAGCCATCGAAAATGATTCAAATCATTGATAACAAAAGAGAAATCATGGAATTCAGCAGTTCATAATTAAATCATTCTTCTAATATCGTTCATATGCTGCCACGTCACAACTAAAAATTCATAATTTTTCAAGAGACCCATAGGAAGTTTATAATACTGTATGAATTTTTGGAAACTTTAATATGAACCAAAAAAAAAAAACTGGTTCGAATGATCCTGAAAGCACAGAAATGACTATCTAATTGTTAAAAGTTCACATATTTGCAACTATCCCTATGGTATCAACTCATGAATCATGATTTTCAGTTATGACACTTGCAGAAAATGAGCGATATTATTAAATGTAAAAAGTGAGCAATATTTTTGTTCTTTCATCACGCAAGCAGTATTATAATTTATAGACTACTCAATGCTATTCAAAATATTCAAATGCTATTCTATCAAAAATAATCCATTCGACAATAATTAATCAAATTATAATTTATATCAATTACAATAGTGTTAAGAGGTTGATCAAGTCTCTTAATTATTTGTAAAATTATTACACGTTTAACTGTATAAAAAATTTAATTTTTGTAATTATTTTTTTTTACTTGAAAAACCATTTTAAAAAACGTTAAATTAAACCACTAATTTATCCATTTATTTTGTTTTTAATGAAGAAAAAGAAATTTATATTCCATTTTTAAATGTAAATAAGAGGGGTATGTTTATATTGAAGCGCATAATCAAAACTTAAGATTTGGTCATTAAAGTCATTTTCATCTAGATGAAAATTTGTGACTAAATGTATTCATGTATGTATTCATTGTTTAAGAATTAATTTTATCCATATAGATTTAAATGTTATAAAAACGAAAAATTGTGGTTTCCAATACATTATTTTAGGTTTAAATATTGCTTGTTAGAGTATAATGACAACGAAATTTTAGTCTGATTATTATTCTCATTACTTAAATAAAGTCTTCTCTCAAATAATCTGAATTTCGTACCTTAATAAACAATTTTTTTACATTTTTTAAAAGTAGTACTATATAGTTATTAAATCTGTTTAAACTATAATTAGTTACAAATAGTAGATAGTAGTATTGATATTATAAAAGCTTTTTAAATGTTCTTTATGAATTTGAAATCTAAAAAATTATTTAAATAGCTTTTATCTTTTAATTTATATAAATGTTTAATGTTTCTAGATAATGTCCTTGTGGGCTCATATATTTTTAATACTCTGTATTATTTTTGTTATTACTGCCATGTATAGATGTTATATAATGTTGTATTTTAATTTGTTTGTACATTTTGTTTATTTTTAATAGTTGTATATTTTGTTAAACTGCAATATTGAGAAATGTATTTATTTTAATTGTAATGAAAAGTTTGTAAAATCAAATTGTTGTGAATTAAAATTTTCATGATAGTCTATTATTTATTTTTATATAATTATATTATTTCTACGTGTGTATTTTACTTAAAATGTTCATTATTTAAAATAAAATAAATGAAAATAATAAAACAGTTTTTAGAGTTAATACAATAGAAACTAATATTTTGAAAAATAATTGAAATTTTCTCTTTTTATTATGTCATATACCTTCTTTTTTTTTTTTTGTAGATATGAATATAGCAGGATTAGTGTTATAATTACAAGGTGGACAAACACCCAGCTCACCTCTAAGAATATTTCTATAAATAAGAATTTTTTAAAAGAAGTAGTATAAAGCAAACAAATTTGCCACTAATAACAGTCTAGTACTGTTGATGCGTGTTCTCACTCAGGATATAACTGACATATTTCAAACATAGCAGCAATTCAGGTCGGAACGTCGGCAAATGTCAAAATAAATATTATCATTTATTTTTGCCTTCTTATTTGACTGATCACCCCAACTATTCTTCTCTCCATTATTCATGACAGTCAACCATTTACCCACAATTATAGCAGCAATTAATTTATATTCAGTTAAGGTCAGGTTTTAGCCAATCCTGGTTACTAGAAAATGGAGTGCAATCTGATTTATGATATGCAGTAGTAAAAAAAATGTAAACCAACTTACACAAGACAATAAAAACTTAACAGAGTACTTCTAGAAAATGGCACTTTTATATTACTAAAATTTTAATAGAAAACTTGAATGTACATTCATATAAAACTTATAATTAAAAACTATAAACCAGTTGTCAATTACTGCCAGATTTACTGAGCTTAAATCCTGAATTTTAAAGCTTCAATAGATACATTTTAAAATATAATAAATATGAAGAAATATAATAGGTTATATGGCATTTTACAAATTTGAGGAGTGCAATAATAATATTTAATAAAAATAAAAATAAATTTGCCATTACAAAGCATAAAATTAATAATAATTGTTACAATCAGTTATGCCCAATTTCATATCCACTGATACATTTAC